TGTGTATAAGAACAATATTTGACTGTCAAACACTGTCAGACATGATGGTGGGAACCTAATGCTCTGGAGATGTTTTTCAGCCAATGGTTCAGTGAGTCTAATCACAGTAAACAGCTCCATGAACAAAGAGCAACAGATCAAGATTCTCGACAACAACATCAAGCAGCTGCAGAGGAACTTGGACTTGGACACCAGTGAACATTTCAGCAGGACAATGACCCAAAACACACTGCAAAAGTGCTGAAGAAATGGATATTGAACAAAAAGGAGCTTCGTTCCGGCTGCTATCGTACTTATGAATAAATTGTAATCTATTTATCTAAGATTGTGTGTTTTTAACATATTTAAGATTTATCTATTGTGATTTTAGCCAAGCGTGATGGATGATTTTAATTGGTTGTTTATGGAACAAACCATTCTGCACTGGAGCACTGTAACATTTTATTTTGTAATTGTGATTTTATGTGTGTTTTGTGGATGAATGAAATGTGAAATGTGGAACCTGCCTCTCAAATCTGCAAAGCAAATTTACCTACGGGTACGAATAAAGCGACCTAACCTAACCTAACAACATTAGCATTTTGCAGAGGCCCAGCCAGAGCCCTGACTTAATAATAATAATGATAATAATAATAATAATAATAATAATAATAATAATAATAATACATAACACTTGTATAGCGCTTTTAAAGATACCCAAAGATGCTTTACATGGGAAGACAAACAATGACAAACAAGAGAAAAAGACAGTTAATGACATGTGTGTTTTTTTTTTTTAAAAGAGATGGTTTTCAGGGCTTTTTTAAACAGTGAGTGTGGATGAGTCTCTGATGTGTTTGGGCAGGGAGTTCCAGAGGGTGGGAGCAGCGGCGGAGAAGAAGGCCCGGTCCCCCCAGGTCTTATGTTTAGTCCTGGCGGGAGGAGACAGGAGGTTGGCATCAGCTGATCTGACTTGAATCCAACTGAGAATCTGTGGAGGAGCTAAAGATCAGGGTGAAGGCAACGAGATCCTCCAATCTGAAAGCTCTGGAGCTCACCGCTAAAGATGACTGGGCAAAAATATCAGCGGAAATGTGCAAAAAAACTGGTCAGCAATTATAGGAAGTGTTTGATTATTGTAATAGCCAATAAAGGCTTTTCTATTGATTATTGAGAAGGGTGTGAATAATTCTGGACATGACACTTTTCGTTCAAATGTAAATAAAAGCTGAGAAATATTTTTTTTCCACAATGACGCCTCTTGTACATCGTCTTATTATCTCCTGGAAGACGTCTGTGTCATTTCCAATCAAGAAAAAAACTTGCTGGTTGAATAAAAGTAACTTTTTGCAATATTTTATTTTTGCTTTTTTTGTTTGAGTTATACAATACACAAGAAAGAACACAGTTGAACAACAAAAACTGAATAAAAGTAACTTTAAGTCAAAATTTGTCAGGGGTATGAATCATTTTGGGCTTGACTGTTTATATTTGAAAAGAGCAGACGTACATGAGCACGGGTCACTTCAGTGTAAATAGATCAGGAGCCACAGTCTTACGGAAGTCGAGAGGCGTCACAACAAACGCAAACACCGCAACAAATACAAATGCCACAACACAAACGCAAATGCCACAACACATTAAAAAGCCACAACGGAAGTGACCGTGGGACTCTATTTTCCGACGGACCGATCAAGCGGCAAGTGAAGAAGAAGAACTACAATGTGAAATGAATAATGATAAAACAATAAATTACTTTTACTTACGTTTGCAACTTCTCTGTTCCTTTACTTTTCAAAACGTTGTAGTTCTTCTTATTCACTTGCCGCTTGATCGGTCCATCGGAAAATAGAGTCACGCAGTCACTTCCGTTGTGGCTTTTTGATGTGTTGTGGCTTTTGAATGTGTCGTGGCTTTTTAATATGTTGCGGCATTTGTGTTTGTGTTGTGGCTTTTTAATATGTTGCAGCATTTGTGTTTGTGATGTGGCTTTTGAATGTGTTGCGGCATTTGTGTTTGTGTTGTGGCTTTTTAATGTGTTGTGGCTTTTTAATATGTTGTGGCATTTGTGTTTGTGTTGTGGCTTTTGAATGTGTTGTGGCTTTTTAATGTGTTGCGGCCTTTGCGTTTGTGTTGTGGCATTTGCGTTTGTGTTGTGGCATTTGCGTTTGTGTTGTGGCATTTGCGTTTGTGTTGTGGCTTTTGAATGTATTGTGGTGTTGTAATATGTTGCAGCATTTGTGTTTGTGTTGTGGCTTTTGAATGTGTTGTGGCTTTTGAATGTGTCGTGGCTTTTTAATATGTTGCGGCATTTGTGTTTGTGTTGTGGCTTTTTAATGTGTTGTGGCTTTTTAATATGTTGCAGCATTTGTGTTTGTGTTGTGGCTTTTGAATGTGTTGCGGCATTTGTGTTTGTGTTGTGGCTTTTTAATGTGTTGTGGCTTTTTAATATGTTGCGGCATTTGTGTTTGTGTTGTGGCTTTTGAATGTGTTGTGGCTTTTTAATGTGTTGCGGCCTTTGCGTTTGTGTTGTGGCATTTGCGTTTGTGTTGTGGCATTTGCGTTTGTGTTGTGGCATTTGCGTTTGTGTTGTGGCTTTTGAATGTATTGTGGTGTTGTAATATGTTGCAGCATTTGTGTTTGTGTTGTGGCTTTTGAATGTGTTGTGGCTTTTGAATATGTTGCGGCATTTGTGTTGTGGCTTTTGAATGTGTTGTGGCTTTTGAATATGTTGCGGCATTTGTGTTGTGGCTTTTGAATGTGTTGTGGCGTTTGTGTTGTGGCGTTTGTATTTGTTGCGGCGTTTGCATTAAAATAGAGTCCCGCGGTCATTTCCGTTGTGGCTTTTTTTTGGTGTGTTGTGGCTTTTTGTTGTGTTGTCACATTTGCATTTGTTGCGGCGTTTGCGTTTGTTGTGACCCCTCCCGGCTTCCGTACAGTCTTGCTCCAAACCTTTAACCAGGGCTTTAAATCTCCGCACTGTGCCCCGAGGCCTCATGGGAGTTGTAGTGCTCTGACCCCGCGGACACGTTCGGACACTCGAGACGGTTTTTATCGGCTCAGACGTGAGAGCGGCCACGGCGATGTCATCGGTGAGGTCATCGCGGGGTCAAGCAGAGGTCACGGCAGATCAGATCGGAGACAAAACGGACGACTTCAGTTTCAACTATTTCAGCAGTAACAAAACAACATCCACAGAGGAATTCAGTCAGAGTACTCGCCGCAGACACAGGTGCATGTGTACTTCTACTGCGACTGCGTTTGACTGTGTACAAATGTGAGAAACGTCACAAAGCTTTTTTAACCTGGACTCAAGTGGTGGGATTTTTCTTTTTCTTTAAACAAATTCACTAAAATCACCATCGTTACAGTTCTGAGTGTCTAGTTTAGTCCTGGTTCAGCTCTGGTTTACACCTGGTTTAGTCCTAGTTTAGTCCTGGTTTAGACCTAGTTTAATCCTAGTTTAGATCTGGTGTAGTCCTGGTTAACCTGGTTCAGACCTGGTTTAGTCCTGGTTTAGACCTGGTTTAGTCCTGGTTTAGTCCAGGTTTAGACCAGGTTTAGACCTGGTTTAGACTTGGTTTAGTCCTGGTTTAGTCTTAATTTAGACCTGGTGTAGTCCTAGTTTAGTTCTGGTTTAGAGTCTGGTTTAGACCTGATTTAGACGTGGTTTAGTCTTGATTTAGTCCTGGTTTAGTTCTAGTTTAGTGCTGGTTTAGTCCTGGTCCATGTCTTATATTTTATTTTAAATACAGTAATATTTTAATACAACAAATCACTTTAAAATGACAGGAACACGTCATAAATAAATAAATAAATAAATAACACATTACAGTTTTGAAGTAACAGCGACAACCACCAAAAAAAACTCGACGTCCCAGTTTTTTATTTTGAAATCTTGGTCACACTGATCAATAAAATCTGTCAAACTCTAAGTCTGAGTTTTTGTGACAGAAGCAGGAGAAACACGGAGCTTTTCTCTGCACAAACACCTTTACAATCAAACACACAACGGCCTCTGTGTCTCATTTATTTCCGCGCTCGTAAATAAAAGGCAATAAAATGAAATGGAACAAAGTGAAATGGAACAAAGTGAACTCCTGTAAACTTCCACCTGTGGATCCGACCACCACGTGACTGAACGCGGAAGCGGAAATGGAGAAACAAACAGCTGACAGCGCAGATCGGGACGAGCGACAGGAGGTGTCACTCTCCCGCAGCACGCAGGCTTTAAAGACTTTAAACCGAACTCATGACACGGTTTAGTATTGTACGTTTAATTTATTATTATCGATCCTCTGTGTTTCTGTTTACTTTTTGTATTCGACAACTTTTATGATTCCTTGAGTAAAAAAATAAATAAAAAAAAATCTTGCTATGTACGATTTTTTTTATTTTATTGCATTGATAGATAATATTGTACATGTATAAATAAATAAATAAGACATAAATTGTATAAATGTATGTACAGTAAGTAAAAAACAAACAACATGAAAACATTGATCACGAAACTTTACAAATATTTACATATAGCAAAACAAGTTACACACTATACATACTAAATAATAATAATTTTAACCCATTTTCTTTCTTTTTTTGTATCGTACTGTATTATATTTTACAGTTATTATTTTATCAGTATAGATTTTATTTTAATTTATTTTTTAATTAAAATTAAAAAAAATGTCTGCATACTTTTTTATTAATTTATTTTTAAAAGTATATTTATCTGTATAACTTTTATGTATATGTGGTACTTACCCATACGTTTTTAAAACGTTTTTTTTTTTTTTTTTAATCATACCATATTGTTTTACAGTTTTTATTATGTCATATTTACACATAATTATCATATGATTTTATTTTTTATTTTTTGTATCGTACCGTATTCTGCTTTACGGCTACCACTGTTACAATGATGTAGTATTTATAAGTAATAATATATATTTTTTTTAAATCGCAGTTAAATGTCCCCGCGGTCGGAGGAGGAGTGCGCCTCTGTCCTCGGCGCCATCTTCGCTCGGGGCTTCGGCGTTAGCAGCTCGGGCTAATCCGGCTAACGGCTAACGGTTGGGGCTAGTGGCGCGGCGATGGCGGAGCTGGTGCAGGGACAGGCCTCGATCAACCAGCCGGCGCTCAAGTCCGACGGCCTGGTGGACGCCTTCCAGAGAGCTCGGCAGGTAAACGACTCCCCCCGGGTCCGCGCTCCGTCCCGCTCCGGCGCCGCTCCGGGCCGTTTCCGCGGAGCCGACACACTTTTTTCCGGGGGCCAGTCCCAACTTAACTTCGCCAACTTAGCTTCGGCTAGCGACGGCGGATGCTAACGGCGGCGGGGGAAAGCGGCGTACAAGTGGCGTTTTATCGGGGCATCGCTGGAGCTCCGCGCGGACGGCGGTGGTCGGCGGGGCTCCGGGGATAGTTTGGTGGGACTTTGCGGAGCTGTCACCCCCGCGGGACCGCTGGAAAGGCCCGGGGAACGGGGTGAACGGCGACGGAAGGGGGGGCTGCACAGAAGTTTGGCCACACGTGTCACTGGGCTCCTCAACCTGTTGGTGCAGAAAAAGCCTCTCAAAACCGAGCTTTTCTCCGCTTTAACCGCGTTTAAGCCCCGCTGGCGAGCTGCGTGCAGCACTTTCACACCGGTAAAGCGTTTATTGTTTGCGTGTTTCTGCACATTAACCCGATTTTCAGCCTGGCTTTTTGCACTCCTCTTATAGGCTCATGTTTACTGTAAGTTGGTTCGAAACTAGGCTCAGTTATGTAACGAGCGGACAGCCATATACAGCTCCACGGAGGTGTGTCTGCTGCCTATAGACACCCGGGACAATAACGACATTTTGGGGGAAAGCAGCGCACTCGGATCTGCGCGTAAAAACGTCCAAATGCGTAACGAAGAAACCATCTGTCAGCGTTAGCGGCGGAGTTTGAGTTTTCCCTTTTTTTTTTTTTTTTTTTTTTTTTTTTTTTTTTTCTGCTGCAGGCGAGTTGTGCAAAAGTTTAGCTCAGGAGGTGCTGCTGCTGCGCTCCGTTTGCCCGTCGACATGTTGATTCTGGTGCGAGGAAACCGCAGGTAAAGCGAGAAAGACGGCACGATTACGCACGGGTTTCGTCCGCGAGTCTCTGGGGAATATTTTGGGTGGATGGATCTAAAGCTGGTGCTGTGGGGGTTTAATGGTGCAGGGTTGCAGAGGTGGGTGGACTGGCCAGAATGTGCTCGAGTTAAGAGAACTGTTGCCTCTTTAAACTAAAGTAGGATGGAGTAAGTTTTTGTAGTTTATTGCAAAAATATTTTGCATTATTGGGTGTTGTCACGGTTAGAAATGAAACTACAACCGAAATATCATATCATGATATCGCATCGTCAAAAGTCTCACAATAATATTGTAGGCTGTCACAATATATCAAATTTCAAGTTCCTGTCCTTCAATGCAGGTTTTATAGACGCAAAAGCTTATGAACATTGGAAACTACATTTCCCATGATTCATTTCAGTGTAAACAACATGAAGAAATACGTTTTTATGATAGAAATATTTTAAAATCAAAAAAGTGTCCTATCTACAATTATATCAGCCTCTGCAAAATATCGCAATAAATATCGTACCGAGAGATTTGGATATCATTACATCTCTAGTCACAATACTAAAATTTCAAACTTGATTTCAATATTAAGTAACGGCAAGGCAAGTTTATTTGTTTACCACGTAAGAAATACTTTAAAACACAAACAAATCAAAACCAAAATAAAAAAAAGAGACATTAAATGAGAAACTTTTCAGTCGTACGCACTAGGGGTGTGCAAAAATATCGATATATCGTATCATTTATCGTATCGTTAAGAGTATTTTTTGGTGTATTTTACTAAATTATTTTGTTACAGATCTACAGTTTTGTTTTTGTTCAGAGGAAGGAAACGCGTTTATGCGACACATTTGACATTTTCATTGTTTTGAGGATTCAAATGTTTGTTAAACCACTTCTTGTGCAAAGTTCATATGAAACACAAAGACTTTTAGTATCACAGACATGATTTAAACTTTATATTTGTTTTTAATTGTAGCGAATCAATTTTAAATATATCAAATCGAAAGTGCACTGTAACGAGGTTTGTATCGCACTCGGATCTGCGCGTAAAAACGTCCAAATGCGTAACGAAGAAACCATCTGTCAGCGTTAGCGGCGGAGTTTGAGTTTTTACTTTTTTATTTTTTTCTGCTGCAGGCGAGTTGTGTAAAAGTTTAGCTTAGGAGGTGCTGCTGCTGCTGCGCTCGTTTGGCCCGTCGACATGTTGATTCTGGTGCGAGGAAACCGCAGGTAAAGCGAGAAAGACGGCACGATTACGCACGGGTTTCGTCCACGAGTCTCTGGGGAATATTTTGGGTGGATGGATCTACAGCTGGTGCTGTGGGGGTTTAATGGTGCAGGGTTGCAGAGGTGGGTGGACTGGCCAGAATGTGCTCGAGTTAAGAGAACTGTTGCCTCTTTAAGCTAAAGTAGGATGGAGTAAGATTTTGCAGTTTATTGCAAAAATATTTTGCATTATTGGGTGTTGTCACGGTTAGAAATGAAACTACAACCGAAATATTGTGATATCGCATCGTCAAAAGTCTTACAATATTATCGAATCACAAGTTCTTTTCCTTAAATGTAGGTTTTATAGAAGCAACAGCTTATAAATATCAGAAACTACAATTTCCATGATTCATTTCAGTGTAAACAACATGAAGAAATACGTTTTTTACTTGAATTCTTGGGATTATGACAGAAATAATTCACACCAAGATGATGTCAGGGTATTTTCAAAGTAAAAAAGTGTCCTGTCTACAATTATATCGTACTGTGAGATGCATATTGTGATAATATCGCACTGAGAGATTTGGATATCGTTACATCTCTAGTCACTATACTGAAATTTCAAACTTGATTTCAATATTAAGGAAAGACAAGGCAAGTTTAGTTGTTTACCCTGTAAGAAATACTTTAAAATCACAACACAAACAAATCAGAACTAAAATTCAAAAAGAGAGAAACATTAAATGAGAAACTTTTCAGTCATACGCACTAGGGATGTGCAAAAATATTGATATACCGTATCGTTTAAGGTGATGATACAGTATCGATATCGTGCTGCTGCTGTATTGATATATCACCAAGAGTATGTTTTCGTTTATTTTACTACATTATGTTGTTACAGCTACAGTTTAGAGAAAGGAAACTCGTTTATGCGACACATTTGACATTTTCACAGTTTTGATGATTAAAATGTTTGTGTTTCAGATGAACTTTACACAAGACGTGATCTAACAAAAACTTTTAGTTTCACAGACATGAGTTAGACTTTTTTTATTGAACTGAATTCAAATATATTGTATCGAACCGAAAGCTCACTGTATCGAGGTGTGTATCGTATTGGCAACTTCTTACTGATCCCAGCCCTGGTGTTGTCACGATACTAAAATTGCAAACTCAATTTCAGTACTAAAGAAAGGCAAGTTTATTTGTACAGCGCATAAGAAATACTTTAAAATCACAACACAAACAAATCAAAACATAAATAATCATCATAAAATTTAATAGAGAGAAGAATGCGAAAAGAAATGTCGCACACAGTCGCCAAACAGAACCGTTTTGAGCCTGGATTTAAACTATTTAAAAGTCAAAGCAGAGTCGATACTCGATACCGATTCTGATACCACAATGATAATAAAACCACATTATTGTTTAGACAATAGAATGTGATTTTCAACATTAAATAGCAATACTTTTTTACTTTTCCCATGTGGAATATATCAGAGTTCACGCAGGTTCCTTAGTGTTCCGTAGTGTTCCATAGTGTTCCATGGACGTATACCAGTCTATGTTCTCTTATACTTGTACTGAAAGAGCTCAAGATCATTAAAAAAATTATTCAGACATTCAGAGAAGGTTCATTTCTGTTCTGTCAATGAGACTTTTTTTTTTAGTATCGATACTTGAGAACAGTGAGGATCTAATTTCGATACTAGTTTTAGAATCGATTACTGTCTGATTTTCTTTTCTTTTGGCAGACCTGCTGTGGAGTTGGGCTGCCACAGAACAATATATAAAAAAATAAAAATAAATCACTATTGGCCAATGCAATAATCAATATGTAACGTATCTAAAAGACAGATCCAGTCTCTTTTCTGACGCCGTCTCCTGAAGGTTCTGTCCAGCGGATCTGAGGTTCTGTTTACACGAGAATGCTTATGGGTAAAAACGACAAAATATTTTATAGGAAGTGTCTTTCGTTTAGACGGTAACAGCGTTTGTGGAGCTTAAAAACGCAAAAATCTGAAACGAACCTCCAGAGTGGAAAAGTTGAACACGCTCCGCCGTAGTGTTTCCGTCTACACTGCCCAAGACGCAAAACTCTGGTCAGATCTGCTCAGGTCAAGTACACGTTTTTGCTTTTGTATCACCGTGCGCACGCAGATTTCCTCCCGAAAACCCTCGTCTAAACGCGGCATAAAAAGTGAAGACGCAACGCCACGTTTGCATCTTCTGTTCAGACCCTCATCATATAAACGCAGCCTCTAACCGCGCTTATTCAAAGAGACTTGGTGTAAACTGACTTTTGATCATGTTGTAATAGATTTTCCTTCTTATTTTCCCTCTGAAGTTGTATTTCTAGTGATTCATACATGTTTGAGTCATCTTTATTCTCATGTATTCGAGACGTCATCGCTCCGATCTGCCCCCGTTTTCAGCTCCATGGTGCCCACGCCCACTGTGACGTACGCACTTCACTCTCCAAGTTTATTTTCTTAAACCTTGATATACACGTACGATTCTGCAGCGTTGCGTAGTGATTTTGATACAACATGAAAAAAATGCACCTCCTAATGACACTTTTGGCTCTGCAATTTCCAGCCCGTAAGTCAGCAGACCTGTTTCTTTTATTAAGTCAGATCAATATTTTAGATCAATTACGTCTATAATAAAATGTCCACTTATGACCCACTGGTGTCATAAACGATCACAGACAAAAGTATAATACGTCTTCTGTAAACACAGGTGTATTTATTACTCAAAAATAATCTGATAATCATGTGAATGGGGTCACCTCTCCACAGATCTGCCTTGTAACTTGACCCGGTGGCTTCTACTTATAGTCCGTCTGCGGTTGGGAGTCCTTCCATCAGAAAACCCTTTCAGATCTG